GGGTAATCTTTTTGGAATAATTTTTTTTTTTTACATTTTCTGTTCTCTTATACCCTTAGAATTAATGTAGAAACGCACTTTACCATTCGAAGGTTTCGTAAAAGGCGTTTTTCTCAAAGCACACTTTTTTAAACTGGCGGACATCATTCCGGTCGAAGTACTCAACCAACCTTTTTAATGTTCACATTTTATTTACAATGTTATGATAGAATTTATGTAAAAAACATGGGGAAAAATTAAAAAAACAAAAACGTTAACTACTTTTTATTAACAACATTTTTTTAAGATTCTAGTAACGACGATAACCATCACGTACTTTTTAAGTTGTGTTTCAGATGATCCAAGCATGAGAAATCGTGTCCGCCAGTGAAAAAACGCATCTCATCCACACAGCTATTTCTCCGACAAATGTCTTCAAAAAATTCCAAAAAAGATTTCTTTATACACTCCATGATATGTGAAAAAAGTTCTTTTGTAAAATAAAAATTTCTATGTAAAAAAAAATGTCAAAAAACAGGTCAGATTACCCTACTCACCCCTGAAAACTATCTCTTTAGTTTTAGGTTCTACAAAAAACCAACAATAAATATAAATGTTACTGATTCATTACAAATAAATGGTGAGTTGAGTAATTACATTTTAACAATTTAAAAGAACGCATAACAATTAACTATATAAACATATATATGTTTATGTATTTATACTTATGTATATATGCAAATCTTCATGGTTGCGTTTTCACTTTTTAATTTCCCGAATATTTCTTCATAGTGCTCCTTGACCCACAACCGTTCAATTTGCTTATCGAAGTGACAAGGCGCGTATCCGCCAAAGTAAACACTGAATTTTAAATGTCATACAAAATAAGTCAAATGGACAATGGTTTTACTGCACTCCTTGCTACCGTAAATGCAGCACCACTGTTTCTCGCAAATTGTCAGTGTAAATAAGGGATGACGGGCGGGTCAGTGACTGCACAAATTGTGTTGCCTTCAATGCATTTATTCGTTAAATCTGCACAAACATATGCACGAAAGCTTGTGTGCAAAAATAACACTGGTTTACAGCAAAATTGTTCCATGAACGCTACTATTCAATTTGTATGTGGAATCGCTCGCTGATTTCGAAAGTCGAATAAATTTTTTTTATGGATACGTTTTTGAGATATTTGCAATTTACCGTAATTCGACCATTGGATTGGAAAAGGTGTCTCATTTAGTCATGTATATCTCAATCACCAGTTGAGCAATCTTACTGCAAATTATAGAAAATAAAAGTGAATGAAATTTCCTAAAAATCTTGCCTACTCCATTTTTCCATAGGCCTTATAATTTCTGAGAAATTGATTAATCACTTCGTGTTTTTAAATTTTTTTATGAAAAAATTAAAAAAAATATATACTTTGGCAAGGAAAAAATTTTAAAACAAAATATATTTTTAAAATTTCTTTTTATTTTATATGAAGTCCTGTTTCTTTATAAAAAACTAAGCTGCCAGCGAACAAAATCCATGGATAAATAAGAAAGTTGTACATGATCAAATAAATATATCCAAGTCGCGCAAAGTCAATGTATACGTACATATATGCGTATGTAGTGTGTAAAATAGGGGTGGGATATCTAGCTATGCGCTGTTTCTGTTAAGTAAAAAGTCAATTTTCATGTCGTTTTTAGTTTTTATAAACTCATTTAATATATATTAAAACAATTTGTTATTTTTGTCTTAAGTTGATGTTCTTACATTATAGTCGAAATGATTATGTGTTTTGTTTTGTCGTTTATTTAGTTTAGTCACCCATCATACCGACGTCCCAGAAACCTTGGTATCGATTCTCAATTAATTTCATTTGCTGGTGAAACCTTTCGCCATGCTCGTCACTTTCGTCTCCGAGATTTGCCGGAAAAAAACTTAAATGGGGATGCAGAAAATGAATTTTTAAAGACATATTTATGCCTGGAGAAAAAAGAAAATGTAAATAAGTAAATTATAAAATTTTATGTAATTCAATTAAATAAGTTTTGAAGAATCACCCATTTCTGCATAATTTTCGCTCACTTTTATACCGAGAAAAGAAGAAACGACCATTTCGAAGGAATCCCACGCTGCTGCCTCAACTGGTGACAATAGTCCTTTGAATTGGTCATTATTTATCAACTTTTTTATTTGGGGTCCAACAAATATACCTTCTTTTATCCTGGGGTGGGAAATATTTGGGAAAAAATTTTGCAAATAATTGAATGCTTTGCCTTCTTTGTCCAACGCCTTAACAAAATTTTTAATGAGGCCGAGCTTGATGTGCAATGACGGAAGAATGATTGTTTCCTTCTTTACACGTGGGACGTATTTGATGTTATCCACACCAATTGTAAATTCAACTCTTTCCGGCCAATCCTTAATGCAATAATGGTCTTTACGAGCTCGGCTATCCCATTTGCAGAGAAAGCAGCAGTGTTTTGTGTAGCCACTTTGTAGACCGCATAACATTCCAACGACTTTAAGATCGGCACATATTTTCCAATAATGCTCTTCATATTTGATGAATTTTAACAATTTCTCCATTACCTCGTATGTTTCCTTCGTGTTTACTGCATGCGCGATCGGGATCGAGAGCTTTTTGTTGCCATTATGCAGTAATACGGCCTTCAAGCTCAGTTTATTGCTGTCTATGAACAATCGCCACTCCTCGGTATCATATGGTTGACCAAACTCTTTGAATAATCCTGGAATGTCTTTCCAATAGCATATATTATCTTCCTTCGTATAGTGTTTGGTAAATGGTTCGTGACGATTTCCATAATATGTCACCTTAACACGGGGTGACACGAATTGAAATCTCTAATCCAATCGTTTAGTTGCGCTTGTGATAGAACGTTTCTCTCGTTTTCCATTAAAAATTCATTATAACTTGATTTCCCATATTCAGATGACCTTTCAGATACTGCTGTTGACAACGAAACTGGATACGCAACTTCAGCTGAATGTGGAACCGGCAATGAAACGGTAGGTACGTTAGCGTAAATCACTTTACTTGATTTCCCAAAGCCAAGTACTTTTGTCATACAAATATAACAATCTTCTGAGTGACATGTAGGTTCTCGCCATATCATTTGTACATTAAATTTCATGTATCGCCTGAAAAAGAAAAAAATTAAAAATTACTTCTAAATAAAAAGAAGCATAGTTTCATAATTTTAATACGTACTTTGATCCTGATTCCCATTGAACCAATATTATTCGACACAAGGAACACAAAATATTCGGAGTCCATGGTTTAGCAATATTTTTAGGCTCAATACCAAAATATTTTTAATATATAGATTGGATCGAATCTCTAAACTGCCTCCGATGCCGTACAAGAGTATATTCACCGCATATATAACAGAACATATCCGGATCGTTGGTAGACTCAAATTCTCGCGTACGTTTACTCATTTTATTTTTAAAATTAACTCACGGTTTCTTATATTGTAATTATAAACTGGAACCGGAGAGTCTTACAGATATTATGAACTTTCAAGGGGCATTTATCCTTATATATAGCTTGATCGCGAGAAAATAAAAAAAGGCAAAACCTACCTAAACAAAAAGTTCCTTCATATTAACGAGGCGGGAAAAGAAAATACTACCTGCTGTTGATGTTGGCCTTAAAAAAATTAATGAATTTACCAAGATATGTGTCTTTGCATAACAACATGCATACCTACATATGTTTGAATTAAATTTATTTGCATTAGGAATTTTCCGCAACTAAGTACCCTTCGAAAATCTGCCTGTATACCTACACACATGTTAAGCAAATTAATATGACTACAGGGGTTTCGAACCTGACACCTCTTGCTTTCGATGCAAACTACCTACTACAACAGTATTTGGGTATTACTGTTCTAAAAGTATTATTTGATTTTTTTTTTAACGAATAGCGTTATTAGTTTTTTCTAATGATATTCGAAAACAACCCCACCCCTACTTTACACACTACATACGCATATACCTATACATTTACTTTGCGCGATTTGGATATATTTATTTGATCATGTACAACTTTCCTATTTATCCATGGATTTTGTTGGCTGGTAGCTTAGTTTTTTATAAAGAAACAGGACTTCATATAAAATAAAACGAAAATTTGAAAAATATATTTTGTTTTAAAATTTTTTCCTTGCCAAAGTTTATTTTTTTTTTAATTTTTTCATAAAAAAATTTAAAAACAACAAGTGATTAATCAATTTCTCAGAAATTATAAGGCCTATGGAAAAATGGAGTAGGCAAGATTTTTAKGAAATTTCATTCACTTTTATTTTCTATAATTTGCAGTAAGATTGCTCAACTGGTGATTGAGATATACATGACTAAATGAGACACTTTTTCCAATCCAATGGTCGAATAACGGTAAATTGCAAATATCTCAAAAACGTATCCAAAAAAAAAAATTGACTCGATTTTCGAAATCAGCGAGCCATTTCACATACAAATTGGATAGTGGCATCCGTGGAACAAAAAACAAATTCAAATTTGTGATCCAGTGTAATTATTTAGCTTCTACACAAGTAGTGGTAGTGGTAGTCTTTGACAATCTATAATGAAAAGTATTTTTTTCGTTCTACACTTTGTTGAAATAATTATATGGCCACTTTGCTTCCCCCATATAATGCAGTGAATATTCTTATTTTTACAATAAATATACCCTATATATATTTTCATAGAGTCGTGATTCTTCAATGGTTTAAGCATCCAGTTCCTTTTCACATACCTTTCTCCCTTATAAATTGCAAAAGTGGCTTATCTAATGTTTGGTTGCACCCGAACCGAAGTTACCTTTTATGATTTTTAAAGGTAGGATAGAGTATTATGCTAAGAACGTGACAGTGATATTTGGAAATAAGGGTTTAAAAGTGTAAGTTGAGAGAACTGCTATATTGAGCGGGATCTTTAAAATGACCTTAATTTAAAATGTATATATTTTTACTAACAAGGATGAATAAAGATTTTAACATTTTTAGGTGATTGATTTATTGAATCCAGGATCAGCGAGAAAACCACTGGCAGTTCGTTGGTCAAAAAAATCACGAGGATTCTTTGTAGAGAACCTTTTCACTGTTGATTGCGAAGAATTAGATGACCTGTTAGCAGTTCTGGAAGAAGGTATGTAAAATAATAAACGCGAGCGTAATGTACTCACTTTATAGATTTAACAAAAGTCTTTTCTAGCAAGCACGTTGTATGTTTACTTTTGCACCCCCTATTAAACAATATTCTAAAATAAAATGAATTTAGAAATCGAGTAAATCAAAATAAAATTCCATATCAAAAGGCAGCACCTGCATTTGATAGTTTCTGTCTAGCCCTGGTTATTTCTTAGTGAACTGTAGATCTAGTAGTTAAGAAATAATATATCACGACAAAATATATGGTACTCGAAAGTCTTTTCGTCTTTCTAATCAATCTTCAACTTATTTTTTTATGTATATAAAAGTAAATAAATAAACAAATATATACCATTTTAATAACCCACTGTAAAACTTTCATCAGTGTAAATCGAAATTTCGAAATGTCCACAACGAAACCGAGCGATCCATTGTTGTGCTACACGGACTGATACGTTATCGTCTCCGATGTTCTGTTTTGACAGTTCTGAGTACAACGTACCCTAAATACTTAAAGACAACGAAAAAATGAGAATATTGCAGCTAAACTTAAATTTCTGCTCAGCAGCACACGCTCTGCTACAACGAACTATAATAGAAAGCAATATTGATGTCGTCTTACTGAGTGAGCAATAATCCCTAACGTTCGGAAAGTACTTATAACACAGATATAAGAGGCAAAGCTGCAATGTGATCCTGCAACGGACAATCATTCACGTCTTGAGAAGCAAACACTGGTTTAACATGGGCGCAAATAAAAGAAGTATATCTCGTAAGCTGTTATGCTTGACCCAGCGCGTCCACTAGAGAATTTGAAGACTTCCTTCTAGAATTAACTTTGGAAAGCAGATGTAAAGCGCCGATAATAATAGCAGGCGACTTTAATGCATGGTCTACTGCCTGGGGTAGCAGAAATTAAAACCTACATGGCAAATAACGCACTTAGCAGACAGATTAAGTGGGAAGTGTCAAGCATGTTTACAAACAGTGACCGCATGGCAATCATTGCAGAATTTTCGTTCTCTCGGGCCCAAAAACTCTCACGCATTAACACTAAACATTAAAGAAGCAGGAAGCAAACAGATTTTGAAACTGACATTTTGAGAGAATCTGGAGTGCAGCAATAGCACCAGGCGAAGGCGGCGTCCATTTAATAACCGCATTGCGAAAGGAACTTTTGGCAGCATGCGACGCTTCAATGCGAAGGACAAAATGTCACAATGACCTGTATACTGGTGGAATAAAGAAATTGCCACACTGAGAAAGCTCTGTCACTCAGCCCGACGTCCCCTACAATGCAATCAATGTGGAGAAAACGAAAACCGTCTCAAAGAAGCTTTTAAAAGCTTTTTAAAGTCAGACCCCTGGGGGACTGCTTATAAAATCTGTATGCCGAAATTCCAAAATAAGCGGCAGCAACCCAAAGGCGCTCCGTTTATGAAGAAAGTCGTAGAGGCATTATTTCCGACGCACGCCCTGATTACCAGCGCTGAGCGACGAAACGAAGCTGCTAAATCACCCCCACTGATTACAGAAGAAGAACTAGTGCCTGGTATCGATTGCATTCCAAACAGAGATCAAAAAGTAGCCATAATTTCAAAAACCATTCTTTTTGCAAAAATGTACAATACATGCATAAAAGAAGGGATGTTCCCCGATCCCTGGAAAGTCCAGCACCTGATTTTAGTCCCAAAACAAAAAAAAACACCAGATGAACCTTCTTCGTATCGAGCTCTGCGTATTCTCGACACAATGGGCAAAGTGTATGAAAGCATAATAAGAAACCGGTTGGAGTTTGCAATCCAGGAAGCCGGCAGACTATCAGAAAGACAATACGGCTTCAGAAAACAGAGGCCCACTATCGATGCACGGAAAGAAGTTCTCGACACTGCAAAAAGTGCAGTAAGTGGCAAAAGGTGGAAAGTTGGTACAAAATAATATTGTGCACTGATCACCTTGGATGTGAAGAATGCATTCAACTCTGCTAAATGGACAAACATATTCGAAGCCTTAAATGAAATACGCGCTCCTCAGTACTCATAAATATCGTTATTTTGAAAATAGAAGGCTGATCTATGATACCACCGAAGGCATCAAGAGCTACCATAATTCAAATTGCCCTCTCTTATGGAATATCGTGTATGATGGAGTGCTAAGAAATGCACAAACGTTAAGCTAATCGCATACGCGGACGACCTTATAACGGTAGCAGTAGCTAACAAAATAAATGTAATGAATGCATAAATGGTCTGCGCCAATAGTTTTCTTCCATGAGTTTGGAACTGGCTGAGCACAAAACAGAGGTGTTGCTCATAAGCACCAGGAAAATTGAGGAAAAAAAACTCTCACTATAGGAGAGTGCGTGATTACTTCACAACCTCAGTTGAAGTATTTAGGGGTAATATTGGACACCAACCGGAAATATAATAGCAAATAAAATTTATAATGCTTTATCAGGAGTAATGGCAAATAGAGACTGTGTGCGTTCCAGCCGCCGACTTTTAATCGCAAAAGCGATAAGCTCAGTTATATTACATGCAGCTCCAATATGGATACAGGCACTAAACATAAAAGCGTATACCAAACCAATAAATGTGGTGCATAGACTCATAGCAATAAGAGTAACAAGTGCTTTCCGAACTATTTCCAGCGAAGCAGCTGAAATACAAGCTAGTATGCCGCCCATAGACATCCAGGGTGACGAGCTAACGAGATTATATGAGCTATCAGCGCCAATTACAGAAATTCAAAAGAGAGAAGAGAGAAAGAAGAGCGTAACTATATAGCAACAACGGTGGCAAAACTCAACTAAAGGACGGTGGACCAATAGACTTATACCTGATATCCATGCGTGGATAAGTAGAAAACATGGGGACCTGGATTTCCACCTGACCCAAAAAATAAGCGGTCATGGGTGCTTTAGAGGCTATCCATACAAATTCCAAAATTACTTCAGTTTGACTGCACTTATGTGTAATCTTAGGAGGCTGTTCTCGAAGCGACAATTTCCATCACGACAGTACTAAGACAGCTATAGCAGAATAGGCGTCAGTCCGTCCGTGCTAAAGAGGAACCGTAAAGTGTCTTGTCACTCCCAAGAAATAATACCATATCTCGTTGTTCCGTGGGATAGACTTAAGTTGGGAGTTGTGCAGCACTGAAAATATTGACTGCATCGACAGCTATTGGCAAAATACGAAAATACTTTTTCGACTACCCAATATTTAAAGATAATGTACCATATGTAGATAATAAATATCAAAGGTTTATTTCATACTCAAAATTGGACAGAGTGTCTGCAAACACAAAAAATTCGCCACCTCTGTAATGTGTGTCTTATATATGGAAAAGCCTGAACTCTACTACTTAAAGCCAATCGAGAGAGATATAGAGTTATTAAATCAATATTGTATATCTGTCCAGGCAAGTAATAACCTCACTAAAAATGCTATTATGGTATATGGATTAAACTTGACATATGTGTTCTTTGTGACACTAAGGAAGTATTTTAAGTGTTACATACTTCCACAAAACTGTATGATTCGAATGAAAATGATATTATTGAGCATCGATTAAGCTCTGTAATACCCAAAGAGATTATATACAAAGTTAGATGGAAATACTTCACTTCATATAATGTAGTTTGTTGGGCGTATATCGGGCAATCACATGATAATAATCAACCTCTAAATCGTACCTAATATTTTTATAAGCTCTTGATTTGCACTAAATGTATTAAGTCTAATGTTGAGCAGTATCCGAACAAGGTTCTTCCTTGCTTTTTTAATTAGTTTGCTCAATTTGAAACAGCGTGCTTTCTTTGCATTAGACACTTTGCTCATACTAGGTATTAGGAGAAATGTGGATTTTATATGAATATTAACTATGTCGTAATAATTGACAAGAACACGGTTACACATTTACGATACTTTTGTGCACTTACTCATTTTCAACTGTTACATCTTACATATTTTAAAGGATTCTTTGAAAGGCGGAATAAGCAGGATTATGTACGAGTTTCACGAATAAACTTTTGAAAACCCACTGTGTTAAGCATGAAGTATATTATGGCATTGTTTCAATGCTAACACTGGTAGACAGTGGTTTTGTTGCACTGGATATGAGACTGATTTTAGATATATTTATGTTCACAATTCTCGAAACTATCAATGATTTTGTAAGAATTGCTCTCATTTTTTTTTTAGCTTTTCTTTTATAATTCTTCTTTGGACAATCTCTTTTTAAACACCAGCAGTAATCTGCCATCATGTGACAATCCCAGCGACCCTGATACCGTTCTTCCATCACTTTTAGATCCTGGTGGAACCGTTCTCCCTTCTCTTCACTATAATTCCCTAAATTATCCGGGAATTTATCTAGATGATTGCGAAGATAGTGTAACTTTATACTCATATTTACTCCTAGAGTCTGAAAATTTGTCAGCATATTTTGCACAATTGTTTCATAATTTGGTGCTTTATGATTACATAGGAAATTTCGACTACCAATACAAAACTTTCCCAAGCTTTACTTTCCGGCACAGTCATGACTTTGATAAAAACTGAGGACCATAAAATATTCCACCTTTTAACTTTTCTATACTAAGCTTAGGGAATTTTCTACAAATCTCCGTCTTTGTCTATTGTAGTGGTGGGAGTATGATTTTGTCTCTGCTTACCAATGTTCTCTGATTACATTGCCTTTACCGACATTTAAAGAATCTCTCACAGGCCAAACATCTTGATTCCAATGATGTCGCTATTTCGTGTATTCACTCTGTTCACCGAGTAAAACATTAACCATTTTCAAATCTACACAGATCGGCCACTGGTGTTCCGAGTATTTAATTGTTTCTAAAACTAATTTAAATTTTCATACTCCTCTTTGAGTTTTGTTGAATGGGCGATTGGAATAGACGAAAATTTATTACCATTGTGCAGTAAAACGCATTTCAAAATTCTTCTGTCAATGAAAAGTCACCACTCAGTAGGTTTATAT